ATATATATATATATATATATATATATATATATATATATACACACACACACACACACATAATGTATATTTACAAATATGCATTTAAAAAGGAAAGGAAAGAAAGCTAGCTAAGCATGAGGCTGAGAGCAAGCTAGCAAGCAGCGTTTTTCTGTGATTCCTGTCCCCAGTTCTTGCCCTGACTTCCTTCAGTAATGGCCTAGGACCTAGAGGTGTGAGCCAAATAAGCTCTTCTCTCTCCTGTGTTGCTTTTGGTTAGGGTGGTTTATCACAGTAAGCGAGAGGAAACTAGGATGTACCAAGGTAGCTGATCTGGACACCTTGCATTATTTCTATTATTTATTTCTTACTCACATGTACTAAGTTTGGATAGGCTTTGCACCATTTCACACTGCGCCTGCTCGGGGACAACTCATGTGTTATCTTACTCTTAGTTGTTGATCTGCTTCGCCATCGTTTTGCCTGCTCAGCCGGAGCAGGACCTGTGGGATTCAGCACCCACCGTATGTGATTTCAGGAACTCGCCGGGCATTGTGGGGGCACACTCCCAGCGCTCAGGGAAGGGAGGCGACTTTAACAGGAATTCGAGGGGACAGCCTCTGAATACTAGGAGTCTACTCTATTGTCTAAACCTTTACCCTGTGCTGAGCTTAGCATCACGGAAGAGCCTCCACGTTGCTCACGTGCCCTCCTCGTTGCCTTGCTGTAGGTCGGGGCCGCTGCTGGTGGCGTTCTCCTTCTGGTGGTGGCAGTTACCAGTGTGGTCCTGGCAAGGGCATGGAATCTCCCTGACGTCACTCTCCTGATCATCAGTTTCATTTTTCCTTTGGTCGGCCATGTCATGGGCTTCCTGCTGGCATTCCTCACCCACCAGTCTTGGCAAAGGTACAGTTACACAACCTGTAAGTGCTCCAAAGCTACATAAGGTGTGCGTGCCTGCCTTCGTTTGTGTGTGTGGCGCGCGTGTGGTCAGGACACTCAGCAGGAAGAGGGCGAGGAGCTTGTGGTAGCCAAAGCCACACAGATGGGGCTTGTCCTAGCCAGGGCTACTATCGCTGTGATGAAACACCTTGACCAACTCCGACTTGGAGAAGAAAGGGTTTGTTTGGCTCACACTTCCACATCACTGTTCATCATCAAAGGAAGCCAGGACAGGAACTCACATGGGGCAGGAACCTGGAGGCAGGAGCTGACTCAGAGGCCATGGAGGGTGCTGCTTCCTGGTTGCCTCCCCATGGCTTGCCTAGCCTGCTCTCTCATAGAACCCAGGCCACCAGCCCAGGGATGGCTCCACCCACAGCGGGCTGGGCCCTCCCACAATCACCAATTTGAAAAATACCTCACAGGCTTGCTTACAGCCAGATCTTCTGGAGGCATTTTCTCAATTGAGACTCCCTCCCTTCAGATAATTCTAGCTTGTGTAAAACTAGTTGTCACAGAGTTATAATTTATGAAGCTGGGATTAGGGCTTTGGTATGTCTTGCTGATTTCTGAATGGTTCGAGGCCAGCCAGGACTATACTGCAAGAGCCTGCCTCAACTATGAAACTGAGAAGGGTGGTGTGTGAATTCCATGGATCAATGGGAGGAATGAACTTATCTTGCTCAATACAGAAATCATCGCAGGACTTGAGTGACTTTCAGGAGATTAAATCCTTGTTCACTGTGCCAGGTTTTTAATAAACTACTAGTTAGGCATAATACTTAAAGGGAATTTGTCTTTTTAAATATTACCATCTGGATTGGTGCAGACATTTATAAAAATTGTACATCATTTAAATGGATACCATCCCACATTGGCAGGTATGCCCTGAGATGATCGTGCTCATAAAATAAAGACAGGGAATGACGAGAGGAGCTGGAGTAAACTTTCTAAGAGCCAATATGGTGTTGTGCCAAGAGTCTTATATGTGCTTATGGTTATTAATGAGGCCCTTTTACTTTGCTTGAGAACAGGATCTTGCTACCAGCGCTGGTGGCCTTGAACTCTGTCCACCTGCCTGAGCCTCTTGAGTGAGGGGATTAAAGGTGTGTTGTGCCCGCACTCTGAGGCAATCTGTTCTAGAGCTAGCTCTATCAGATAGACACACAGATGCTGATATAATTGCAGGGCCCATTATGAAGTGGAAATCATGTAAATATCTAACAATAGACACTTTAATTATGAAGCGTTCGTGTGATGGGTAGGAAGCATCAATCTCAGGATGTCGGACAACACTCCTGAGTGAATTTTTAGCTTAAAAATTTTGATTTCTACACTGTGTGTGTGGGGGAGGGGAAACAGAACAAAGAATGTGGAAAAATACTGGAAGAAATGGGCAATTTTCATCGGGGAAGTTTAGGCTGATTTCAATTCCTTTGTGTCTCCTCGGTGTTGTTTTTAGCAAAATCTCAAACGTTCAACTTTACCAACAAAGACTTGGGAGCCAGATGCTGAGATGAAAGCCTTCTAGCTCAGAGAGGCAGAGAAAGCACACAACTGACCTTCCTCCTCGGCCATGTCCCAGAAGGAAGGCTCCTTCCCCACATTCTCAAAAAACCCCTCACATTCAACATCCCTCCCTTCTACTTCCTGTGTGTCTCTCTCTCCATCTTCCTGTTTTCTTTTTACTCTATTGGTTTTTTTCCTGTGTTCACTTCTTGTCAACTGGTTGCTTGCTCCACCTCTTGACCTAGGGTTGACTTTATTTAATCCTGCTCACATTACTCAAGCAGAAAGCTCTTGGATTGAAGGTGTGTGCTAGGGCTGAGCCACACCACAACAAGAAACAGGTTTTTTTCCAGTAAGCAATACAATCTCAGGGTTCACTCCTGGGAATATTTCCTGTTTTTCAGTAAGTGGATTTAATTTTAAATCAAGAGAGTGGCTGGAAAGTGGCTGGATTCTAAGGGCTGGGCAGGCCTAGGGTGCTCTTCAGCTGCTCCCATTCCACCTGGAGAACATAGGGCATTGCACAAGCACTGGGCGAGGCGCTACCTCATCCATCTGGTTTCCTTCTTGTTGCAACCTGACAGGCGGCTATGACTATTCCACCAGCGGTCAAGTCCTTCTGTGAGGGTCAGGAACATAACCAAGTTCCTAGGGGTAGAAAGTGGTTCAGTTTGGATTTGAACCTGGGTTTGTTTCTAAGGTCAGTCGTTAGGAGCATAGATTGCTGAGTGATGCAGATTGGGGACTAATCTCCAGAGCAAGGAAGAATTCCTATGACAAGGTGTTGTGAGCTGTTCAGGCTTCCTCATGTCTCATAGGCAGATAAAGATGAGGCCAGAGGGAATTGCAGTTTCTCTGTGAATGGTCCAGGTTGAGCTAGGAAGTTTGTGGGAAGTGTGCTTTGCATGATGGTAGGAGAAATGCAACGCGGCACGGAGCCTGCCATCCAGGAGTTTCCTTCCTGCACACCCTGTTGGCTCCATGTGGAACCCCAGCTCCAGCCCAAGCACCGCAACCTCTCACTTCATGCATGAAGCCTTCAAATTCCTGATAGACTGGTGCCAAAGGCAAATGCTTAGCTCGATCCCCAGCTCCTGCCACTGCTTCCTTTTTCTCTCATTTTTGGCTTCAAGGAAGATTCATTTCATTTTCTGCAATCAAAAAACCAGCGGATGTAAAAAAAAAAAAAAAAAAAAAAATAGAAAGTTTATTATTGAACCTTTTCACCGAAAGCCACCTTTTCTGTCAGCTGTTTCTCATCTGGAGGTTTTGGGGTTTTTTAGTTTGTTCAGTTTCACACCTCTGACTCAGTTTCCTATTCTCGTTTCCTCCAGTCCTCTTCCGTATACGGACTGGCTCGCAGCATAAGATGCGCCTCCTGAGGAAGCCACGCTCACGTCTGTGCCTGCGACTTTCCTTGATGGCACTCCCGCTCACACCTGTGCCTGCGCCTTCCCTTGCCGGCACTCCCCGATGCTGGTCACTGCATTTCGGCAGCTTCTGGCCTCTCCAATGCTTCCGGGAGCCACTTCTGTCAATTGGCTGAGATTCTATAGCATCTTCTGGCCCTGACCATTGTTGCACAGGGTTCTCTGGTGTGTGTCCTGTCCTTTCTCCTCTATCCCTCGGCCAGGGTTCTTGAGGCCCTCTTCCCAGGGCACCCTTGCCATGCACACGAGGACCCCAGTACTAACCATCAATGAACAAATCCTTCTAACTGCCTGAGCCTGTAGCTTGTTTGTTGTTATTTGAACGGAACACTCAAGGATGGTTCTTTTTTGCTGGTTTCCAGCTCTTGAATCTTTTTCACCACCAGATGCAGGACAATTTCCATTGAGACGGGAGCTCAGAACATCCAGCTGTGCATCGCCATGCTGCAGCTGTCCTTCACGGCCGAGGACCTGGTCCAGCTGTTTAACTTCGCGCTGGCCTATGGACTCTTCCAGGTGCTGCACGGGCTGCTCATGGTCGCAGGTGATCAACTCCCTCTGCACACCCGTAACCGGTCTATTAACATCTTCAAGCCAGCTTTGCATGTGCTGCTCTTGTGATATGTTTTTAGCCTGATACATCTGGGGATCATGAAAAATAAAGCCAGGACACTGTGATGCAGTGGGTGTTTCACAGAAAATGCTTAAAGGCCACTTCAGTGAGATCTTATAACCAGAAGCAAATCGCTTTACAAACCATCTCTGGAGCTTTTTACGTCCCGTCTCACACTCAGAGCCTCAAGCTTTTCCAAATGCTCAGCTACTTCCGTGATGCAGAGACTAAAACTTGGGCTGCGCGGCTGCAAAGTGTTTTTCATATACAAAGCATAGCACCCACGCCTAAGTGTAGACACAGTGACATTTTATGCGCACATGCTACTCTCCTAGCTGCTTGGCCAAATATGTCTTACTCTGGAGGTAAATCCTCATGTACGGAAGGTAAATTACAAGAAGGTGTGATCACGCATACGTACACATACATTTCTTTATATCAGTCTTGGAAGAGACCCTGAGAAGGGTTAGGGGTTACTGATAAAATTGATGTGTGCTGTACACTTTTCTGCTGCTGTGATGAAATGCTGTGCCCTAATGCAACTTACAGAAGAAAGACCTTATTGTGGTTTGCAGAGGTGGGGACACACACACACACACACACACACACACACACACA